GCAGCACCTTTGAGGGCAGTGAGGTGAAGGCTACGCATTGCGGTTCCAAGTGACTTTGTGACGAGTTAATATACAAATATTCAAATTTAGTCAAACGAAGACAGCACACGACTTGAACTTTTTCCCAACAACTTTTCCAGCAAGACTTTTAAAAAGAACATTAGTTAATTAAGTAAAATTTTCCTGTTGCATTACACACTTATTATATTTTCTGTAGTCAACATTTAAATTCCGTAATATACATTTAAAGCAGATTGTGTTTGCATTAAATCTCAAGATGTATTCAGTGATATAAATTAATGCACTCATTTTAATAAGTAACAATTTTTTTGCGTAACAATATATATAATTTTCTTATAAATTATTAAATTTATTTACGATAAATGCTACGAAAAATGTTAGATGTAGCTTATAATCATCCTTACTCTTCAACTTGCCGTAAAATAATATCAGAAATGTGTATGAATATATTTAAAGTAGCAGGGCAGTCGTAACAAGTTATTGGTATCAGTACAGCGGCGCAGGACACAAATGGGACCTTAATTAATTTCCCATATTGTGAAAGCGTCACATGCAAAAAAAACGTCGCAATAAACTTGACAACCTCAGTTCTTGTGTGCTGTAATAATTTTTGGCTTAACTGCAAACCCTTTTTTTGGGCTGCAGCAAAATAAAATTAATTGGGCGGCAGAAAAAATATATATGACGGGGGTTTCAACTGCAGCATCAGCATTCATTTTCATTATAAATGTCAACAGAGCAGAAGCCAAAAAAAAAAGAAAGTAGATATTTAAGCGACTTGGATAAAGATTGGAAATGAATGGGAAATTGGGAACCAAATGGTTAGCAGTTCCCATATGCAAAAAAAAACGAATGTAATTATTGTATATGTGCTGAAATATGAGCAAATTTATTTATAGCTCTCTCCGTGTATGTGCCAGGCCAACACGCACTGTGACATGAGCAATTGTCATTTTTGTCGTTTTTTGCTGTTGTCCCTGCTGGTTGTTTTTTAAACGTTTGCTGTTGCATACATAAATGCTGCAGGCAATCCATACACAAACAAGTATTGAGCAGCAGTTCCCATTTATATTTTTATTTATTTTGTTGTTTTAGTGCTTTACGGCATTGAAACGAGTCTCGTTACCTGCCGGGGCCAACGTATCCTATGAGTTATGGCTTCTGGCTGGCGTATGATTAATATTCAATTACATGGCACAAGCAGCATGTATTTTACACACCCAACCACCGCCAATAAAAAGCACAACCCACAACCCACATATATGGTAAGGTTTTTGCACTTTTTATGCAGTCAGCCAGAAAACTTTGCTAATTGCCCCATACGTAAAAAACAACATAAAAAAAGAACAAAAGCAGCATAAACAACAATCGAATTAATGCACAGCCTGCAGAGGAGCGTCAGTTGCATCGATGGGAGCCACAAATGTGAAATTTCCTTTCATTTAATTATGCACATTTTGTGCTTGCTATTTCGGGTAAAGGATGCTTTTTAATTGGGTTACGTGTTTCTGTTTGCTTATTTGTATGCAGCGGAAATTGCGAATATTAATTGTGTGTTGAGGCAAATGAACAATTTTTTTATTAAGCTGACGATAGCAAACTTGTTTGCATATTTTCAATTATTGAATACGAGTTTTTTAATTTCGTTAATTTAAAATTTTTGTTTTTTTTTAACTTGAAAAATATAGTTTTACGTTGCGATAATTTCTATAGATTTGGATAAATCATTCACGATTCAGCTACTTAATTGCGCTGTTTTCTAATATAGTTTTAATAGCCAACAAAATTGTTCACAAAGAAAACTTTCCATGAATTTTCCTTAACTGCACCCAACCACACTTATTGTTCCCATTTTTTTTTGTTTAATATAAATGGATATAATACTTCAAAGCACAAATATTGCGTGTGGCTTTAGCATAAGCCATTATATTCGCCTTTTGACAAGGCCAATTGCCGTGATTTATGATTGCCATTATTTAGGGCTTAGAGGCACGTGCTTTGCCTTCTTAATCTCCCATTTCAGGCAGTGTATTAAAATAATGCTAAACCACAGCTAAATCATAACTTAAGCTCTTATCGCTGATGAAAAACAAAAATTGCAAATGTTATTTTAATTTGCCAATAAGCTGCCCAAAAGGTCAAAGATCTGCTTTTCAATATTTAATACGCATATTTGCTTATTTGTTGCGCATTGCGCATTACATCATTTTAGATGTCAAATTATACAAATTATTTAAATAAACAATTAAGTAAGTTATGTCACATGTCATAGGCAATTTTGTATGAAAACAAATTTGCAATTCTTTTGTATTTCAACGTTCAACGCTTATTTATTTATTTAATGCCAACTAAAGTCAGTCGACACAAGAAAAAAAATAGAAAAGTAAACAATTGAAATAAGTTATGTTAAATATTAAAATTAAATATAAATTAAGAAACTTAAATTTAAATTTAAATTCTGGGTTAAGCCCAGGAAAAGAAAGAATCCGACCAATAAAAAGAAATATTATAAATTAGTTAAGCTCCATCACAAGGCAAGCGAATGTGAAAGTATTTTTTTGTTGTGATTTTTAAAACGGGTCACATGTAATTTTAATTGATTGCAAGTAATTAAAAAAGAAAATCAGCCCATTCATTATTTACGGTGTTCGTGTCGTAATAATTCAATTATGTTAAAATAATTACATTATTATGGCAACACGCCTGGCTCTACAATATTTAAAACTGTGCTTCATTTAAGCATTTATTTTTGTTTACTTTTAATTCATAAAGTTGATCCATTGATCGATGCGCATATCATTTACCTCTCATTTTTTTGCACACATACGTGTACTTGGTGCGTGACAAATTCACACTCACTCGGCCAAAGCGCGGCAGTTTGAGCGTATTAATTTATGTATTTGAGGCACGCTTGATTTACCCGCACACACTCACCGAAACACACACACGCACACACACACATACATGCACACGTACGTACAGTGGCCAACAAAGTTACGCCCCTAAATTGCATATTAATTGCTCATTAATTGTTGATTAGCCTTCAAGTGGGGCATAGAATCGCGGCGAGTGCTAATCTCAGCTCAGTTTACCAACCTGCCCACCCCTTTCCACTTCCACTTCCAGTTCCCGTTCCCGCAAAACAATATGCCTATCTTTCTGTCTCTCCTCTCCTACTTACTGTCTCTCTCTCTCTCGCTCTCTTTCTGTTGCTCTGGCAATCGGTAAGCGCCACTAATCTTTAGTGTTAAGTTAAGTATACGCAAAACTTATCAAGAGGCTTAGCAGCGCTCGCTCTTGTTGCGCTCGGCATTAGTGCGACAAAATGTTGTAATCAATCAAATGTACAGAATACCGACAACCCCTCTTGAACCACCACCACGAACAGCCGGTATGCCACAGCACCGCTGCGGGACTCCACTTGTCGGTTTTCTTCGGCCAGGCAAATGCCTTGCAATTAAGCATTATTAATCACAGCGACTAATCAGCTAGCGGCACAAGAACTGAACACTTCCGCCCCAACAAATAATTACAATAGTCATCGCCCAAGGAGTACACATCCTGTCGCCCAGTTGCCTCCTTCTAGTGTCCTTGGCCTTCTAATGTCCTCGCCTTATTTTCACATAAAAATAAATATTTAAGTAAAAGTCGAGTGCGTTAATTCGAATGATTGAGCTGATGAGGCCCCTTGTGACTGATGTCTGCGGTGGAATTGGCTACCAGATTTGAGCATATGAGTTTTGTGGACATAACTTTGAAAACAATTGTTGATGTTCCACAAAATAATATTGTAAGAACGAATTGTTGAACTGTACAAATATGGGTTTTTCTTTTCTTTTGTGAACCACTACTATATCAAATAATATTTTAATTTACTTAAAGAAATAAATAATTAAAGAAAACTTAATATCAATTTTTATTTTATTATTTTTGTATTTGTATTTCTGAGACAAAATTCAGATAAAATGTAGAGAAGCATAATCGTATCTACTGCACACTGAGATAAAATGGATTATAAGCTGATCTCGTATTAATATTGATTGATTTTTATTTTAAACAATCCTTTAAAAATTCAACGCATAGTTCGTATCATAAATCTTATGAAAAGATTAATTTTAAAATGAAATTAATACATATTTAGTATAAAACAAATTTAACATTTACTCATACTCAAATTTGAGCATTTTATTTTAAAATCAGAACCAGACAAAAATGGAAAATTGACCATTAAAACAAGTTATGAATTCAAATATTCGTTATATATTACAAATTGGCAATCGCGCGCTTAAAATTGAAAAACTTTGCTCAAGTTAAAAGAGCCCAATTACTGTAAAAATAAATTCAATTCGTTAAGGTTTGTTTATATTTCAGCAAGCTTTGGTACAAATCTTTCTTATATATTTATCATTTTACTTTCTGCTTGAACTTCTCGTCTATAAATCAGTGCACACTCTTAAAGCTGTTACAATCTTTAGCCTAAATAATAAAACAAATAATAAACACGCACAAGCAGAAAACACTTGAGAAAAGAAAGATTGGCATTGTTCATAGTCAGATCGGGTCAAAGAGCGACTTGTGTGCTAATTGTGCCTCTTGTTGCCGTTGTTGCTGTCAACAATGCACAAGGCACAAGGCACAAGGCACATAGCACAAGGCACAAATGGGCCAAAAACATGACAGACAATAACAATGGCAGCACGAATATTGCCAATTTGGCTAAATGTATTGCAGCAACTTAGTACAACCTGTCAGATAGCCGAAGTGTGGCAAAACACTTGACTTGCCGCAGTGGCAGGTGAAGCTGCAGCCCAACCAATCAATCAGTTTGGGACCCAGTTTGACTTGCCGATAGACAGATAAGTGGGCCATAATTCTGGCCTAAGGAATCAGATATCGGCAAGTCCTTTTCAAGTTAAATGGCGCGTCCAACAAAATGCTTGCTTCACAATTTAATTATAAATGATTTATGACTCAATTACCGTTTCATAGACGTGTTGTGTTCAACTTCCAAATGCTGTGCGAATCCTGCTGTGCAGCACTGTTTTTTTTTTTATAGCTTGTTGGGCTTCAAATTTATTTAAGTTATTTTGACACTGTCTAGCACTTAATCACTTAATTTTTAGCATTTACTTATATATCTTCATATATATTTATTTTCTATATATATTTATATCTTTTTCTCTTTTTTTTTTTAATTTGCTTTGCCTATTTATTATAATTATTTCTTTGCTATTCTCTTCTATAAATTTTATACAAAAAAGTAGGCAGCGTTTCTGGTGAGTTGCGACTTATTGGCGCCTGTGGCGTATGCTGTACACAAAAACACACACAGAGACACACAGAGACACGCACACATACACAAACACAAACACAGCACTCTTTAAAGGCGAAAAACACTTAAGCTTGGCTGCGCCTGATGCTGATTTCCGTTTATTTTTGTTTGCCGTATTCTGTGGTCAAATTTGCTTATTTTTGGGGCGTTGTTTTTGGTCTCGCTGCGAGTTTTAAGCAAGAACTGCAAATGCCGTGGCCCAATCTATGCACACACGCCACACACACACACACATGTACTCGCACACACACACACGTACACAGACACACACACGCACACACACACACAGAGAGAGAAACTCGCCCGTTGTGGAAATATTGTGGAAATTGGCGACGCGACTATCCGTTTCCGTTAGCGCTGCGCTTTCGTGCGGCCCGCTTGTCGTTACCAAACAACACAAAAATCGAACGTGAACTGGCACGAAAATTCGCCACTTCAGGCAACCGAAAACGGACGCTGCCTCAATTTCAATGCTTCGTTTCGGGCATTTCGCGCTTCACCCGAAGCTTCGAATTGCGAATGTTGTGCACGGCAGCGCCAAACGGCCGTTGTGCGAACTAATGCATTGCATTTGCGGAGAGCGCAGAGCGCGCATGGCAATCGATTTGGGCAATTTGGGAGGAGCAGTGCGAGAGAGCAGTTCCCATTATTATTGAGCAGGAGAGATGCCTGCATGAAATGTACCACTTGCGGTTTAAAAATAGGGAAATCTATCTGCTAACTGCCCCTTTCCAAGGAGTGTTCGAAATTTGTTCGTACAGTGGTCAAAATTATGATTATAAAGTCGAAATAAAAATCAGCATTTCTTATTTTGATTATAGTACAATTTCGGCAAGCTGATATACCAAATATAATTTTGTAATATTTTTTATTGGGCAAACAAAAAGAATAAATACATTAAAAAAAAATAAAATAAAAAAGTAAACAGTTAACTTATTTGTGTTTGGCTGAAATAATTTTTGAGTACTGCCATTCAATAAAAGTTACGTATTTCTGCAACATTAGATTGAAATTGTGCGCGAGCAGTTGTTAATCTCATTTCAAATCGAGATACTCAACTTTTTACATTTTCATTGCATGGAGCAAGTCCTAAATATCGAATATTTAAACCATCGTTCTAAGCTTTCTTAAGCTATTCGGAATAAAAAATTGGTTTAAGTATTTGAATGAATGGCAATTCGTGCTTTTCGTGATTGGTTCTGAAAGCTTGCAAATATTGGGTAATTTGCTTTTATCGCGGACACAATCCATCCAGGGCTTTTTGAAAAACTAAAACTTAACACATATATCGAATACTTAAACCACTTTAAGCATATTTAAAGCTGAAAGCTATGGATTTAAAAAAGGCTTTTATTATATGAAGATTGAAGCCGTAAAGTTTTCTAGAGCTAATACAACATTTTGTTTATCATTTTCTATATTCTCGAACCATACTGCTGGCTAATCTTTTGATTAGATGTTAGTTCCAGCAATTAACAACAGGTGGAATTTTGACTCGAGTAGATTTCTTATGATAAATCCAAGTTGACCAGGCAAATAACTTAATGGAAGCTACTAACAAATTTAACGAATCGAATAATATGCTCTGCTGTGACAACAATGCAGTTTCAGAATTCCTATCCTTCTTCGAATATGTCTGTTTGCAATTAATAGCTCCATAAACTTCCGTTAAAAGCTTTCACAGGATTTGGCAATTGTTCCTTGGGAATGTTACAAATATTCTTTGTCTGCTATTTACGATGTCAACTTTTTGCTTAGTTTTTCGGTTTTGAATGAATCGCATATTCACCTGCAGTTAAAAGCTTAACGTAATTCAATTCAATTCATTTTTCTTGAGGGGCAAAAAAAGAACAGAATTTCGGTTGAACTGTGACCCACTGCAGAATCGAGGTCAACGGCCAGAAACAGTGAAAGAAAGTGGCCCAGAGGCTTTCACAGAAGCGTGTGTGTGAGAGAGAGAGAGAGAGAGAGAGAGAGAGAGATGGTGATGGAGAGATAGAGACAGAGATTTAACCGATGTGTGAGTATTTTAGTTGCAAGTGCAACTGGCTGCTGCACTTATAAATCATAATTTCCAGAAAATAAATCCTTCACGGACAATTTAACCTATGCTGAGGGCTGTGGGCAAAACGGGCCGAATCTGCAACAGCGGCAACTGTATCCGGCTGTGGGCTCTGATCCGAGTTCTGATTTGGATTCGGCTTCAGATTCTGTTTCTGATTTTGGCTGCTTAACAATGGGCCTGGTCGAGATAATGGTTTTATTTTCCTCTACACCGTCTGCAGTCAAGGACGCAGTGCCATAAATATTGTATGTGTGTGTGTGTGTGTGCTAACTGATTATATATTGTGGCTAAATCGCTTGCAGATTAAAAAAATGGAAATTGAAATTGCGAGTTTTAATTTCTAAGGTGCTTAAAAGCTCAAAAATGTGGGTGTTTTGATTGCACTCATTCAAAATGAATTAAAAATTCATTTAAAATTAATTAATTTATTATTAAGTTTGCCATCAAATTCGAACTTATGCGCTTGACACACATACCCAAAATATGTTGATTAATGCTTTAGTCTTGAGGATTGAGCTGCAAATTTCGTGCACCCAAAATCCAATCAAATGCATTTTCAGACGTTCCTCAAGTTGGGCTCTTGTTTCCTTACAAATGCATTTGAGTTATGGTCAATGCTGACTGTTTGTGTATGTTGCGGTCTTACCATCCCACGGGGCAGGGGAAGTGCCACAACTGAAACTGAAATAGCAGAGGCTGCAGGAGCAACAGGAGCAGCTGTTTTGCCAAAAGCATTGGTGGGCGAACTAAAATTTAATTTGAGCCACACTCCTTCATCATTGTGTCAGGCAGGAGGTAGTGCTGACTTTGATGCTGATTAGAGATAGGACCCATAAAGCAGCAATTGATAGTTGGCTACTACAGTTTTGTAATAAGTGCTGCAATTTTGATTAAGGTTGAGCTGCTTATCGATTTAATCTACTTTACAAATTTAATTGTTTTGAAGTCAACTCAGAATTTCAATTGGACTCTTTACACATATTTAGGCATTTCATATCACTTAGGGTGCTGATCGATTTGTATCAAATTCATTTAAAGTAACAATGAAATTGTTCGTAGCAGATTTATTATTATTCATTGCCATTGTTTTTAGGACACATGTGATTTGCCAGATGTTTGCCAACTACACTGAACTTAATGAAAATGGCTATTGCATAAATTGTTATTTGCCCGAGTGTGTGATTAACGCGACTGGATACAGCGCTCACCTGGAATTGGAGGCAAATGTAACAGTGTCTAATGATGCAAGTGAAGCAAATGATTTCGCTGCATGCGTACCAGATCCATATCGTATATATGGTATTTATTTAACTATTAACAAATTTCCTCTTAATTATTGTTCGTATTCTTTCTCATCTTAATGTGCAGATAAACTAACGGCCTACATTTGTTTTTGGTCCACAGGGATGGGATGTCAGGCAGTCGCTGCTAATCATTATAAGCTCATTTCCTATATAGAGGAAGGCATCTGTTCGCAGTGTTACCTGAATTGTCCCTGTACTTGGGATATTCCATCATCTGCCATCTGTCCTAATAGACTTGATAGACATTTTAGGCTTATCAAAACATGTTTGACCACAATAGCAATGTACTGCTTAAGCACCTAGAACAGATCATCATAATAAAATATTTTAATTTATTTGAAATAAAATATTTCTTCAGAAATGTTTCCTTTGCGGATGAGTTAGAGTGAAGACAACTCTTTAATTTCATTTTTGTAAATTGCATTGCATATTAGTAAATGTTCTACAATTCGATTTGAATGTTTAGCTAACATTTCATTGAGTGTCAATTAATACAGCATTTTCTGGATATCAAAATTGCTGTTGGCTTGGCTCAGAGATTGTCTGTTCAATTTTGAGCATTGTATTCGTGTTTGATTTGTGGTTCGGTTTCGGGGCCTTCGATTAGCATTCGTATTTGCAGTCATGAGCAATTACAAATAATCAACATTTGCGTAAGCATTTTGACAATTTGAAACGCCAGAATCTAAACATGAACACAACAGCAACAAATTGGTTGCCTCTATTGAGTAAACACACACAGTCTCTCTGTCTCTCTCTCTCACCCACACACACACACACACACACATACAGAGACACACACATTCGATGTGTGTGAGTGTGTGTTTGGCACATTACTAGCACACGAAATGCATTTGACATGTGCAAGTAACAGCAGTTGTTTGTCCCCACAATCTCCGCCGGAGCCCAGAAGCTAATTAAAGCGCACATGCGTGTGATATGCCACACCAGATGTTGGCTTGTAGATGTCGCATATAGTACTATATACTCTGTGTGTTTGTGTGCGTGTGTGTGTGTGTGTTGCAGGGGTGCAGACCCTAGTCGCAACAGCGAACATGTCGAACTGGCAGTCGCAACACGCGCCGTGTCTTTATTCTAATCTCAGCGGCAACATGCTTTAAATTTAGCATAACATCCCGCAATGAGGCTGGGCTGATTGTGGGCACAGGGTGAAGAGGGGGGCTGGTAGGCAGCAGAGTATGTGGCTGACTGGCAACTCTCAATGGTCTAAGGTCAAAACAAGAACTTGGGGAGCTGCCCGGGGTGTTTGAACTAAGCAAACGGTGCGTGTTTTGATTTCATTTTGTTGCCGCGAATGCCGCGAAAAGGTAAACAAAATCTAGCCATTTTTTTTTTCTTGTCATATTTATATTTTTTGTTTTTTTCACTTATACTTTATATTCCTGCCTGTGGCACCAGCACTCAGATATACAGCTTGCCAATGTAAGCCCCTTTTTTAAATGCTGTGTGGTATCATTAGCATAATCTGTCATCCTTTGGCACAAAGTTTCTCTTTTCATTTATCGATTCTTCAACATTTTCTTTTTTTACACTCAAATGTTGTTAGCGTATTGTATATTCGCCTTTACATACATATTATTTTTCTTATTTTCTGCACCCTTTCGATGTGTTTCGATTTTGTTATTTTTAGCCCACACTGCTGCGTACTTATTCGCAATGATTTGCAGCGATTTTTAATAAATGCAAAGTTCGCTCGAAATTGCAAATTGTTGCCGACTCGCATTGCCCCCAAATAAAACACTCGATTCAGCAATTTAAGCAGCAATAACCAATCGAACTATGAAATAGAACAACATCAACTCGCAATTTGAACTAATATATGCAATTTTTACGACAGCCGCGAATATAAAATAGAAATATGTATGACGGAATTTTAAATGCGTATTTTGATATTTAAATTTGATAAATGTGTTAGATATTAGATGATATAAGCTTTTATAAAATTCAATTAAGAACTTTATACACATTATATTAAATAACATTTCAAAGCATCGATTATATTCAACTAGAAAAAGAGACTAATTCGAATTGAAAAGAAAAAAACACAACTTAGATGATATGTTTATGTAAATTTGATTGAAAGCATTACAACACAAAGGGCATCCATCAGCCAGACTAAGCCGATGGGTTAACAATTTTTTCTGACCACTCAACTTTATTGTTAACAAAATATTTTTTATGTTATATCACAAAATAAAGAATATCAAATGCCAACGAATTTCATAAAAAATATATTTGACAACGAAAGCAAACCGTGCGGAATAAATAACAAATTTTTGGATAGTTGACTCAAAATAATAAAATACAAAAAAAAAAAATAAAAACAAATGTAAAACGTGCTGGTTTTTGATTTATTTATTTCGCACAATTCAAATATAGTTTAAATACAATTTACGTTTTAAAAAATGTATAGATGGTTGTAAATAAGATTTACTAGAAAATAGTCAGGGCTATTGATTTAGAGCTGAGTCTGCTCCTCAACTCTATTGTGATTTCGGCTGCAACAATAAATTTCACGCTTGTGCCACAAAAGGTTGCCACGAGTACGGTGTGTAAATTTATTAACAAATCAATTCGTTTGTGTAAAACGCAAAACAAGCCATACATTTTGAGATGATTATTGTTGATTTTGATTTTTGCTTATTGTGCTGCATGCATTATTTGGCATGTTGCATGTGCAAACATGTGTGAATATTTTGAAAGATACATGCAGATTGGACGGTGTGCGTTTGCAGCAAGTCCCACAGGATGCGGTGCATTTGCCATCAATATTTATATACAAAACTGAAAAATGGCTGAGAATGACACAAACTTAATATCAGATACCCTAAGGCTAACAAAATCAATGCAAACTAAATAAAAAGAAGTAAAGTTTACTTCAATCAATTTCAGATAATCCTTTGCAATTGTATCTTTTATAATAACGCATAAGTCAACATACCACATAGGATTGCCATTTTAAAACATCTATGCGTATTTTACTTAAGACTTTACTTTACACATCGAAAATATTACATAAATTGAATAGAACAGAAGCGATTACTGATAAAAAGTATTTTGAAGTTAAAAATAACTAAAGCAAATCGATTACATATGATGAATACACTTACATTAAAAATACATATCTCACTCTGAATGCCAATCCAATAAGCATCATTTCTTAGGTCTTACACGGTACGCAAAAGTTACCTTGGAATATTTATGATGACTTCTGCCATCTGCAGCAGCGCTTCAAAGATATACACCGTCTCATAAATAATTTGTGAGGAAAGCTAAGATTTACTCTGTGACACACATATGCATATACATATTGGGTTGCTCGAGGACAGTTTTCGTCGACTTTAAGGCGTTACACAAATTCAGCTCATATATTATCCATTTAAATAGATTACTTGAAGCATTCGACAGACAAACCACACAGCTGCAGGGAAAAGTCACTGAGGCATCTTCGCCAACATTGACCAACATTTCGAAGTCGTGACTGCATAAAATATTTCCGAAGCAAACTTACAGTAGCTCCTAAATACCTCTGGGTTGTCGACACTCCTCGCTGGCTCCTCACTCTCCTCCTCCGCTGCCGCTGTCCTTATGCCCCTGATGCTGGCAGGCAGCAGTTAAGCCGCAAAGCAGCCATTAGGCAACTACAACTGATGCGATGACGTCGCCAATGGCTGTCACTCGACAAAATTGTTCACAGACACAAAGAACGAACTCTGACACACACATACATATATAGAGAAGAGCGAAACAGTAAAAAGGCAGAGCGCTCTGTGTGGAGTAACTAACAGTATGCAAACTGTCTTGCCACTCAGTCGCGCATCAGTGGCTGCCACACTGAGTTATGGGATGGGTTTCGAAGGAGGCCGCAATCGTTGTTGCCACAACACACAATTCACTTGCGAAGGCAGTAAAGTAGGCAACAGATTTATTTATTGTTTAATTTGCATTGTCTGGCCTCTCAATTATGTGTCTCGTCGGTTGACAATTCTATAATATTGGCTGCAGTTCGTCTATGCCATTTTTAATCACTCGCAAATTGCGCTAAATCATTTTCTAATTGCCACCTCGCACAATACTCCTTTATGCTCCACCTCACCAGTTTCATCCCACCTCATCCTTACCACGCCATCGAGACATCCTTCACTCTTAAATGACTTCACACATTTGCGCAGTACATGTTTATTTCAGCTCGAGGACGTGTCGCCGCATCTATATGCCAGCCAAAACACAGCCCGTATCTATGTCTGCATAGACTCAGAGACTCACATATATATATATATATATGTATATATATATAAGTTGAGGCATATTCGCAGAGCACAGCGTGTGCTCAGTGATGCGAAAGGGCATATTACCATGAGCATCGTGGTTGAAATAAAACATGCTTTGAATATTAACTTAAATATTTTTTCCTACTTATTTTCTTCTCAAGTTTGAAAATTATTCGACGTATGTTTTTAGAGTAGTCCTCAATTTTTTTGGCTGGCTCTAATTTAATAAGAAATAAAATTATCTTATTAAATATATCAAGCTTATATAAATAAATAATTAAAAGGTTAAGAAATAATTATGATGTAACATTATTTATATTTATATATATCTTTAGCAATAACAAGCTGGCATTATTATAGAAAGTGATACATATTTATTAAATTATAATAAGAAAAACGGTTTTATCTTTCTTACACTATTTGAGATGAAGCTGTTTAAAATTTGAAAATAAAGTTCTGCGTAAAACATCCTTTCAACATTTTTTACTTTCATAATTAAGTTCTCAATGTTTTTTCGAAGGATACCATATAATTTTATTTCGGCATATTAGCCCTTTTAATTATTAAGCAAGTGTATTCGAACTTTGGCAAATATTTGATTGGAATTTGGCGCCTGCAGCTTGGCTGCTAATTATACCAAAATATGTATGGTTATAGTTTATATGTTATTTCCATATTGGGTTATATGTATGTGGCAGGAGAGAAATGTCCTCCTATTGGGCTCTCTGCCAACAGAGACTTTGCACTTGCCTCTTGTGTTTATTACTGCTCCTATTTTGCTTCTAATGTATGAATATATACAAACATAAATATACATGCTTGTATATACAGAGCTCTTGCTTATTTTGGAGTGGTTACTTGGGGTTGATGGTGACAGCTTCTGTTGGTCATTAGCCCCCAATTAGTTATTGTTAATTTGTCGTTTGTGAAACGGAACAGATTGCATATTTTTGTTATTGTGGTTCTGAATATTTTAGACATTCCATAAGCTCACAGGAAATGTAATTATTTTCACATTTCATGCCAATACTAACATAATTGGCGTGACTCATGAA